AGCTGGCTCTAAGACAGAGTGGCACATGGCAGAGGGCAGCAGCTCATGGTGGCAGAAAACAGCAAAACAGCAAGAGCCAAAAGGAAGGAACAGCGACTGTGGCAGCTAGCAAGCCTCTCTCCCTTCCATGTATTGTATTTAGGGTCCCTGCCCTAGGGCAGGTATAGCCCTCGCACCCATAAACCCAGCATCATTAGACATGAATTAATCACAAACTGGGCACCCCATCTCTCTCTGAGATGGAATCTTACTGTATAGCCCAGGCTGGCTGGCTGGCTGGCTGGCTGGCTGGCTGGCTGGCTGGCTGGCTGGCTGGCTGACTGACTGGCTGGCTGACTGGCTGGCTGGCTTCCTTCCTTCCTTTCCTTTTCTTTCCATGGGAAAGAGTATGTCTGGTGTCCCTATGACACTTTATTAGGGTGACTTTATGGCTGTGCCAGAGTGGCTGGTGGTAGTGTGCCCATCATGCCTCCCAGGGACAGGGCTGGGCCCCAGGGACCCCGCCTGGAGCCGGAGGCCTCAGACCAGCGTCTCCTTCCAGGACAAGCGGGAGCTGGACAAGCGGATTTCGTATTTCAAATCCTTCCTGGAGACCAGGGGCGCGGCCCTGAGCCAGACCACGGAGTTCCTGCCCTTCTATGCCCTCCCCTTCGTGCCCAACCCCCTGGCGCACCCCTCCTTTCAGGAGCTCTTCCAGGTGGGTGGCAGCTGTGATCAGGTGACATCAAGGGACCACCTGTGGGGTCTTGATACCTCAAACCCTAAAATTGCTAGGCACAGTGATGCATGCCTGTCATGCAGCACTCAGAAAGCTGAGGCAGGAGGATCACTGTGAGTTCAAGGCCAGCCTGGGCTGCATTAAAAGACCCTACCTCAAAATCACAAAAAAAGGGGGGGACCAAAACCTATTGTTATTGGTTTGTTTTTTTGTTTTGAGACAAGGCCTCATTATCTGCATATTTACCTTTTCTTTTTTAAAAATTGTTATTAAAAAAGGGTGGGGGAGATAGTTTAGTGCACTAAGTGCCTGCTTAGGCAAACTCAGGAACCAGGTTTTGATCCCTGCATGCTGGCTAGCCCCGCCCCCAGGCGTGCTGAGCCTGCCACCCCTCAGGGCTGGGCATTTTGGCCCACACCTGCCTATAATCCCAGATCTCAGGAGGCTGAAAGCAGGAGGATCCCTGTGAGTCTGAGCCTCGTAGTGAGACCTTGTACCAAATACATGAAATTAAGTAAAAGAAAGAAAAGAAAAGAAAAATTGTGGTAAAATACGAGTAACAGAATATGTCGTCCTGGCCCTTTGCATGTTTCAGTGGTGTACTGTGTTCCCCCACTGTGCAACCCTGTTCATCTTTGTGTGGCTCATCTTTTATGTCTCTTGATCTTTCTGGGTGATTTGTTTACCTCTGTCTGGCAGTTCACAGATTCACCCACCAGCTGTATCTAATCTGCTAAGCTCATTAAATTTATAATTTCAGCTACTTTCTTCTTTTTTTCTTCCTTCTTCCTTCCTAACTTCTGAGACAAGATCTTGCTATATAGCCCAGGCTGACCTTGAACTCAAAGCAGTCCCTCCTGCCTTAACCTCCCAGGTGCTGGAATTACAGGCGTGCACCACCATGCCGGGTCTTGGTGGCCGGCTCAGTGCATCCAGGGGTGGGGCTGGCATGGCATGTGGTGCCGGGGATCACCCCAGGGTCCTTGTGCTCACCTAAGCAGGCCCTTAGTCTGATGAACTATCTTGCCAGCCCTTGTTTGTAGTCTTACAGTGAGTTCATTTTCGCTGGTTCTGGAGGGCTTTCTTTGAGGTCTGGTCCAGTGGGGTTCTCTTGGGAGAGATTTGCTTTTGGCCCGGATTATTGGAAATTAAATGACTCTCCGGAGGCTTGGAGGCCCACACAGGTAGCGTGAGTCCCAGCTGTGGTCTTTCTTGGGACTCGGTGTGGCTCGGAAGCCTCACTGGAGGCTTCTGCCTTTCCCGCCAGGGCCTGGGTGGGAGCAGGCCCTTTCCTGTGTACCGTGTCTGTGTTTTCTCCTCACCCCATGGGTTTGGCAGAAGCTAGGCCCTTCCCTGGGAACCCTCTGTAACTTAGTGACAGCTGTGTGTCTTGTCCCTGTGGTGCCTTACGCTCCCAAGTCCATGGAATTCATTTTTGATATTCAGCCTAGGAAGGTTGCTTGCCATGCTTGTGTTTTATTTATTTATTTATTTATTTATTTATTTATTTATTTTGTGGTAGCAGGGATTGAACTCAGGACCCTGCGCTTGCCAGGCAAGAACTTATTCTGCTGAGCTGTCTCCCTGGCCCCCATGCTTGTATTTAAATCCCATGAAATACTCGGACTGTGGCTAGTTACTTGTACTTGTCCTTCTGCAGCAGTCCTCTGTAAATGCATCCCTCAGTCACATGTCCCAGGCTGCTTTCCGTGCTGTCATCGTGGGCGTGGCTGCTGGCTGCAGCTTCCGTGTTGTTGGACCTGACAGCTGACGTCAGTACTCTCATTGGCATTTGGCAAACAAGTATTCTTTGTTTTTTGTGTTGGAACCAGGGATTGAACTCAGGCTATTGCGCTTGCCAGGGAAGCGCTTATCATACTGAGCCACCTCCCCGGCCAAGAGTATTCTTATCTTTTTTTTTTTTTTTTTCACTTCAGGATTCCTGGACTCCAGAGTTAAAGTTAAAGCTGGAGAAATTTCTAGAGTTAATTTTTAAAGCCAGTAACACACCCAAGCTTTTAACAATCTATGTATCCTTTTGACACAAACAAGACCAGCTGTGCCTCGCGTGGCCCAGGACCCAGCGCACTTCAGGGCCGGGATGCCAGCATGATCCATACTGTAGAGTAGCTCCACTGTCACTGTAACCCTCTTCCAGTGGGGACCCTCAGAGTACAAAGGAGACAGGAGGCATTCTGTCGCCCCACGGTGACAGCTCTCCCATGGTCATTAGTCTATAAAGACTTGTTTCTCATGTGGAACAAGCAGGTGTCCAGAGACATTTCAAACCAAGCCAGGCAGTAGCACACCCTGTAATCTCAGCACTCTGGGGGCTGAAGCAGGAGGGTTTCATGTTCAAGGCAAGCATGGTACACTGAATGCCTGTTTTCCTGAGCTTCTTTCTTATCCCAGAAGGAGAACGGACAGCACAACAAAGGTAAGTCACTGGGGGGAAGAAACACTTCACAAGGACCATTTGGCCGGGTCAAGTTATTTTATTTTATTTTATTTTTAAACTACAAGCCAATTTTATTTAAATCAGGACTGTCCAACAAAAATATTCTGTCAGCCACTCATGATCTGAATTCTGGTGTATGAGATTAAATTATGGTACACATACAAAA